GGCAAAGCTAAAACAAGGGATTAGCAACCTGGTAGAATGAGAACACTCACATCCACATTTCTGTAGGGACTTTTCCATATTGTAAGGCAGACGTGGGAGCAGATCTAAAGAACTTCTGTGTGGATGTTGTCACTGACTGAAGCAGAAATCAAGAACCAGTTTTACAGAGGTGTATAAACAGAGGGAGTAGAAACTGCTGAAGTCCACTCCTCTATTAGAATATGTTAGTACTGCTGTACTATTTTTATAAATTGGGAAAAGAATAAGGTATGCAACAGCCAATTAATGGTGACAGAGCACTTCAGCTCCAGCAAGCCATGAGCCATCCCTCACATCCCTCAGACGAGAAATGACATGTAAAAGACAGAACCTACTCTATTTATCCCTTCTGTGAATATTATCATCCATACAGGCCCCAAGCTGTGCACATGGGGTGCCTTATTTAACTCTCTGTACTTTCACTGCATGTTTCTTTTTATCCTTATCATGCTGTTAAAATAAACAATCAAAATGCAAGTTTTCTCAAAGAGAACAGAAAGAATATTTTTAAGATAGGTAGAGATTAATATTTAACCAAGCAGATAAATTAAACAATAGGGAAAGTAGCACAGCTTGGTTGGCATCATCAAAGCAGTTAACTGTAAAATAAATGGAAATAATAGCAATAAAATCATTAAGTTAAAAAGCACCTGCTGAGGCATAAGAACCTGAGCCATCCTGATTTAGAGAAAGGTTTCATTCACAATTCAGGACCACCACAGGCAGTGCTCCCCTAGGTGCTTATCCAAGGAGAGGTAAAGGCAATGTACATCACATTAGAGCTGTCCAGGGCTTTGCATAATCCTCACTTTATAAAGTTATCGTTGCATGGGGACAGCAATGCTGAAATGCTGTGGCCAGAACTCTCCACAGAAGGTAACTGCATGTCCTTCATGGCTGGTTCTGAGAGAGTATCTGAGCAAAGGCTCTTGCTGTGAGTCTGCTACCCAGCTTGGCTCAGTGTATCCCAGCCAGAACTGGGAGATGGGGAGTGGAGAAGGACTAAGGCCTCATACCCTGGGAAAATAAACTAAAACAACCAGAAATAAACCCCAAAGATCCTCAAAATAACATAAATAACGAAATAAACTAACACATAAAATTTAAAAAAACAACACCAAAACACAAAATGGCCAGAAGACTTCAGGGAGCAGTGAGGACAGAAGACACACAGGTGACTTTTACCTCCTAATATTCCCCCATAATGCCCACCTGATTTCAGCTGCTGGTCTTGTTCTACTTTGTCAGTCTGGTAACCTCAAAAATCCCTTCTTGCAGGTGACTTTCTACTCCGCATTCCAGGTGAGTGTGTTCCCTTTGGAGTGTCCCTCAGCAGAACCTCACTGAGCTTCTACTGATGGCACAAAGAGCCACAAACTCCTGCTCATTCTGAAACCTGGCCCCATGAAAACCATCTGATGTCCTACATCTTACATCAGAAAAGACAGAAAATCTTGGAATTGTAGAATTGATGGAGTTGGAAAGGACCTCTTAGATTACTTAGTCCAACCCTTTACCCACACCACCGTTTTCACCACTGCTGCTACCCTTCCCTTTTACCCATCTAGCCTTTTACAGAAAGTTCTGATCAACTCTCCAGCTCTCTCTTCTCAAAAACTTCACATGCACAGGAGTAATTGCATGCCTCTCCCCATCCCTGACTTCAAACGCCCAAACTTTTCCATCTCTCACTCTCTCACCTCAGTCAGGACAGCACATACCCTTCAATATTTGTACAAATTCTGCATTTCTACTGTGGTACCATAATAGTCTTTCCTTTCCATACAATTCCTGACGTTTTCTTCACCTCTCTGGCTCCTGCTGAGCACCCAGATCATTTCAGTAAAGGACCTGTTCTTATCCTCAGTCCTTTCAGGTGCAGAGCTCAGACTGTTTTGCCTCGTGTGCATCACTTGGTATTAATCAACGCTGGATTTCATCTGCCACTCCACTCATGTTCCATGTAGGAGTGTTGTAGATGACACACGTCACAGTGTCTGCAGCAGGGGAGCCAAGGAATGACTGAGCAGAAATCCAAAAAACCCCACCAACGTTATTCACTCCCAGAACTGATTCACTGACTGGTCATGTCCAGCCTACGAAACAAGCACCGCCAGGAACCACTGGGAAAAAGAAAGGCGCTCTTAAAAAAAATCTCACAATCATGATAAAACACACAGGGGAAATAAACAAAATTTGGTTCAGCCAAATTTGGACTTCATGACTCTGCAAGTTTAGTACTGTCTCTACCACGAATAATTACACCAAGTTACAAAACAGGTGATTCCATGGTGTAAAGTCTGGTTTGTAACCTTCAGTTTTTCTCTCATTTCAGATGGACACTGGATAACTCTAACTTAATCTTCTGAGACTCAAAACCACACATTTTCTTGTCAAATTTGCTGCACAGCATTCTGTTTTTTACATTACTTGGGAGAATGACCTTTAATAAAGGGCTCACTTAAACAGCACATAAAAAAGAACTTACAATCGTTAGGAATGTTGTTTTTCCCTTTCAACATTCCCAAGCTTTGATGTTCCTTCTAATGACTGCATAATTGAAGACTGTATTTTCTCTCATGCTTCAGTATTATGAATATTGAAAAGCAGTGGTTTTAACAACGCAAAAGCAGTACTTTCAACTGAATTAGTTCCTAGTGGGAAAACCCAGTATTTTCCATCCTTACTTTGCTTCCCAAACAATCTGTGAATGTACTGGGTTAATTCATAAAGCAAATTGTGTCAGTGATGTCACGCAGAATTTGATTCCAAAGGCAGAGAATATTCATCATTCAAATAAAAATTGCTTAACTGAAGTTTGTGACAGGTTGACCACACAGTGTGACCACACAGCACATACAGGACAAGCACAGAGCCAGATCCAGCTGCTGGAATCCAAAATGCAGGGAACTCTCAGAACTTTGGGTCTGAAAGCCAAAGCTTAGAATTAAACACAGCATTTGTGAGACCTTGGAAAAGGCTCCCAAACTGAGGTGCTAGAAGTGAACATGTGGATTTGTAGTTTAAAGCATGGACACGTTAAGCTAAGTAAAGGAAGGTTTAGATTTTTGGAGTTTAAGATACAGAAAAAATAAAAGTAGTTCCAGAGGTAAACAATGAGATTAGAATGCAGCACTGTACGTTTTTGTATCATAACATGATTGTCTAAGAAAGCTTACACTATAGCATAGGTCCATAAGATGAAATATTTAAGGATTGAGTCAAAAATATAAATATCCTTGTTGGCAGTTTTTTATTAGTCAATAAATCCTTAAAATGCCTTGTGACCTTCAGAAGCATGTAGTAAAGATGTGAGCTGAACTCACCCTTCCTGCCTATGTAGAAGATAAGAAAATAAACCACATCACCTAAAAAACTCAGAGGTCCTGGCTCTAACTCCTTCAAAACTCCTTCACAAATCCCCACACCCAGGCAGAAGGGGTGTAGGGCAGGCAGGTCCAACCTGCCCTCCTCTTGTGACCAGGTGACCCAACTGTCACATGAGGGGAAGGTGTGGATGTCCCACTGCATCTCCTGGAAAAGCTGCATCCCAGGGCCTGCAGAGGGACATCTACCCTCTGCAGGATAAGGACCAGCTGGTGGCCAGGCCCAGGGACAGTGGGGACAGTGCTGACCCAGCTGGTGTCTGGTCCCCAGCAGTGTCCCCAGGAAGCAGTGCTGGGCCATCCTGTTCAAATCCTGGGCCAGGGGACCGAGTGCTCTGCCAGTAGGTTCATGGGTGACACCGGGTGGGTGGCAGTGAGGATCTGCTGGAGGGAAAGAGGGCTCTGCAGAGGGCTCCAGACAGGCTGGACCATGGGCCATGGCCTTGGCTGTGAGGGACAACAAGGGCAAGTGTCAGGCCCTGCCCTTGGGTCACACCAACCCCTGGCAATCCAGGCTGGGTAGAGGGGCTGGGAAGCTGGGACAGGCCCCAGGTGTCACCTGGAGGTGGCACTCAGAGCCCTGGGCTGGGGATAGGGACAGGCTGGATCTGATGATCTGGGATGGATTTTCCAGCCTAAAGGATTCTCTGATAAAGTTTCTAACACTGACCATCACTGTCTTGTAATCTAAACATCATGGGAAGTACAGAAGACTAAGAGAATCAGTGATCCAGGCTCATGCAGAAATTATTTTCTTCTGATGTCTTCTCACCCACCAATTAATGACCAGAGCTCTACACATAGTGGATACAAAATCCACTGAGATCCACAGGGACCATTTACTGTCTTACACAGATTTTCATAGGTCATTTTGAGACTGGGGTCTTCAAAGCAATTTCCTGACATTCCAGTGGGAAAGAGGCAAGCGTGAGTTTACAGCTGGATTGTGCTTTGTCACGCATAATCAAAATGAAGATCTGACAAATCAAAAGATTTGTCAAGCCAAAGGGAAACTGATTTTGTAGACTTTAAAAAAATTGTTGTTTATTTGCAACATGACCTATGAGAGGACCCTGTTAGAGGAAGATATTTATATGTCAAAGGGTACACAGCAAGATAAGCAGCAGATTCAAAACTTAAATCAAGTATTTTATGCTGCACTGAATACCTTCAGTCAGTAACTGCTTACCAAGTAAAATACAGTATACACTCACAGTAAGTAAAACTGCATACCACCTTTGGACATAGAAAACCTCATTTTAAAAATAAAATCTTAAATTGTAAGTGAAAAAAAAAAAACCAAGAAAGATCTTATTGGGATGCCCAGCAGATCACATACATGTCAAATATTAATCTTCTAATAATAGGCTAGATTAAGATATTAAGAAATCAACCAACAAGGTTGGAAAAGGCCTTAAAAATACCCATTTCCAGCCCTGCCATGGGCAGGGACACCTTCCACTAGACCAGGCTGAGACAAGAACATCACTCATGAGAACACAGAGGTCTGTTCTTGAGGAACATTCACCTCCTGAGCACCTGTGTGTCACCTGCCTGCACAGCACACCCCCTCACCTGGCGGGCTCCCGTGCCCAGCTGCAGCTGTGGCAATGGCAAAAGCAGAAGCAGGAGACACTGAGCAGTGGCTGTTGTCAGCAGTCTGCACTGTAAAGGGGAAGGACAGGAAAAAATTACCTTCTACAAACTTTTTATCAACCAGCAAGAAGACTTAGAATCTTCAGTAATGTTTGTAACTCTGTGGGCATTGTATCTATTAAGACTGTCAGGTGATTTTCTGTGAAAGACAGTAGACATATCGTAATCATATTTATGGTTTATATTTCCATATCGTTGTAATTAATGTTGCTATAGAAAAAACATCTAAGACACTGCCAGGGTGCGTAACAAGATATTAACCAAATAGGAGGGGGAAAAGAATATAAGAAAAAAACAATAGCATAGAAAATTAACCTAAACAAAAAGTTATGTCAGAAAATTAAGCATATTGACCATCTTCTGATAACTGGATTCATACATTTTCCCTGGTCACTGCTCTGGATGAGCAGAGTTTTGCAGATTTTATCAAATTTTCTCTACAGGGAGTGCTGTGAACATTGTCTCTAACTAGGACTCAATAATATGACACTGCCCACAGTTTCCAGCTCCCAAATCTTGCCTTCTTACCACAAATGTACCCAATCACATAACATTACTATTGGTTTGAATCTAAAGTGTCCTGGCAACAGGTGAGAAGGCTCTGCTCTGCTTTAGTTTTAGTGCCAGGTATGAAACACCTGCCCAGACACCTGGCCTGCAGGAGCTGGCAGCATTTTAAGTCTTCATGGACGCAGCTCACAGACCTGCTAATGATTTCAAAGAGCCACGTGAGAGTTATTTGAGGAGCTCCAGCTCTCTCTTTCCTCTTCAATTGAGCAGCTTTTTCAAATTTTGGAATGAATAATGTGAGACCATCTGTAAATGTTCAGCGTTGCACAAAGAAACAGACGCAGTCCCTCCCCATTGACAACAATGGGTGTTGTGTGTCTCATGATTACAGATGGTGCCCAAAATATGTCCCCTCATCAGCTGAAAAAAATATGTCAGAGTCTTGAGAGTTCTGTGAGAACAGGACTGATTCAATATTAGTCTTGAACTTGGGCACATCCTGCTTGAGCTATTTCAGAACACTGAATCATACTGAAGTCTCAACATGCTTCCATGCCTCATTATTGCCGCTCAAATTTAACAGGCACACTTCACATTCTAATGGCCCTTTTATTTTTAACACCTGAGAAACAAGAAAAATACAAGCAAACCAGATTACTTGACCATGATTACTGCTTTCTGCTGCCCTGCACAGATCACAGGCACAGTGATCAAGCTCTGTTTGAGGCTGGCAGAGCCAGGACAGCTCTCACCTCCCGGCTGCCGGTAGCGGAGGTGCCGCGGCGTCGAAGGGGACCTGCACGGGGACAGCTCTGCAGTGTCCACCACTGAGGTGCTCTCAGGAATGGTCCTGTCCACTGACACAGTTTCCAGAACTGCTGCTTTAAAAGAGAATAAATGTCAGTACTGATGATCATGCATAATTTGGTTTATAGTTGTTTCAAAAGTACCGCGCCTGTAACTCGCCATGAGATTTTGCCATTAACTCAGCAATAATTATCCTCTGGATGGAGTTAAAGGAGTGGGAAAGTCTTGTGCCACTGACACAAAAGCTCATAAATAAAGAACTTGGAGAAAACCAGCAAGTTGTCAGTTTTAAAGTGTGTTGGATAAAATTGTACTTTCAATCAGGAGAATATGCGGTGACATGCACACATAATAAAGGTACTTGAACTCATAGATGTTCTATGACCTAGAGAAAATAATCCTTGTTGAACAACAAAGTGTAATCAAAATCTATCCAATAAAATTGCTAAACAGCACTGGAGAGCAGACTAGTCCATGGTGCAGTTCTTTTATCAGAAGAGTAAAAAGAGGAATGGGATAAACACTACTTCCAAAATGAGGAAAAACAAGCTGATAAAATACATCCTGCATTTGATGTGAATGACAGCTCTGCCTGCAGCACAAGCACTGCGTATAGAAGGCTAAATATAAACAAAAACTTTGGAAACAGAAACTCTGAAAGGAAACAACTTTGAAGCTAGGGAAAGAAGGTGAAAATCCCAGCCTGTAAATGGACAGCAGTTACAGAGAACAGCAATCACCATAATAATATGTCCTCAGAAACAGAATTTGTGCAGTTACGTAGACTTAAAAGTCAGCCAGAGCTGTTTTTTTTTTTTTTTTGAATTCTGGCAGTATCAGAGCAACATTACTACCCGCGTAGACTTAAAAGTCAGCCAGAGCTGGGTTTTTTTTTGGAATTCTGGCAGTATCAGAGCAACATTACTACCCATTTTCATCCCCCTTATGAGATTTCTTTTTAAACTTCCTCATTTTCATCAACATTCTGCATGCAGCTGGACAGAGCTACTGCAGGACAGAGCTCTCTCTACTCAAAATTCCTCCAGACTGAGTGCAAGCTATTCAGCAAGAGATGCCCAAAGGAGTGGGAGACTGCACTGACAGCAATTTAGATTTATATGGGCCTCTGGCCATTTCCAAATGTTCTTCGTGCTGCCCAGGTAACGCTTCCAGCTTTGACAGACCACAACGAGAAATGCAAGTTACTCCCCAGCAGTGCCCACTGCCTACACTCAGGCAGAACAACCTGCTCCTCACCAGTTCACTTAGCAATGTAGAAAAAATGTTACAGCTAAGACAGCAGTTACCTGTCTGTGATTAATTTCAGTGCATGGCCTGTATTTTGGGATATGCTGTGTTATCATCACATTGGTCTGAATGTGGCTGAAGTAGTGCACAAGAAGAATTTGCTCAACTTTGCATAGAAAAAACTCCCTCTAAATACATATATACATATATATAAAAATAGTCTGCTGTGCAATTAATGTAAAAACATCCAGCAGACTGGATACATAATATCCATGATTATGCACAACAGCTAACGAATGTTTTTGAAAGCATGAAGCATGAGCAAAGACCACAGAATCACAGAATCCCCTGAGCTGAAGGGACCCACGGGATCACCCAGTGCCACCCTGCCCTGCACAGACCCCCAGCAACCCCACCCTGGGCATCCCTGGAGTGCTGTCCAGGCTCTCCTGGAGCTCTGGCAGCCTCGGGGCTGTGCCCATTCCCTGGGGAGCCTGGGCAGTGCCAGCACCTCTGGGGGAAGCAGAACCTTCCCTGATCTCAGCCTGAGCTGCCCTGGCCCAGCCCCAGCCATGCCCTGCTCCTGTCCCTGTCCCAGAGCAGAGGTGGGAGCTGCAGATGAGGGTAGGTGAGCTCTGCCCTCATCTCCTCTGCTCCAGCTGAACACACCAAGCACCCCTACCTGCTCCTCATGTGGCCCCTCCAGACCCTTTATCATCCCCATGTCTCTCTTTTGGGCACTCTCTAACAGCTTCAGATCTGATATGAGGGTGCCCAAACTCTCCCCAAGGCTTGAGGTGAGGCTGCCCCAGCAAGTGATGCTGGGCCTGGTACGCCCCAGGACGGGGATGTCCCCCCTGGCCACCACCAACTCAGACTGAACTAGACATGGACCACGACCCCCAGGTCCCATCCCACAGCTGCTCTCCAGCCCCTTGTTCCCCAGTGCATCCACACAGCCAGGGGTGCCCATCCCAGGTGCAGAATCCCTTGTTAAACCCAACACACTTGGTGAATTCCCACCCCTCATTTGCTGAGATCTCTCTGCAGGGCCTCTCTGCACTCCAGGGAGTTGATCGCTCCTCCCAATTTAATGTCATCAGCAAACTTACTCAGTACTCCTTAGAGTCCTGTGTCCAGGTTGCTAATGAAGATGTTGAAGAGCACAGGGACAAAGACAGAGAGCCCTGTAACCCCAGCAGTGACCAGTGCCAGCCTGGTGCCACCCCAGCCAGCACCACGCTCTGTGCCTGCCTCATGAGCCCACGATGGTTTTATCCACCTGTGGGCTGGACAGTTTGTCCAGATGGACCCTGGGAGACACTGCATCCAAAGCTTTGATGAAGCCCAGAGAGATCACATTACTGCCTCTCCTGGGTCACACAGGTGTGTCACCCTGTCACAGAAGGAACTCAGGTGTGACCAGCAGGACCTCCCCCTTGTGAGGCTGTGCTGACCTATTGTTGCCAGATGAATACCTGTTTGCTCAGCTGGCAGGGAAAAGACAATGATTATTTTGTAAAATCACTGGCCTGTGGAACTGCATAATGGGGATCACGTTAAACATCAACCAAGAAGAGGAGCAAAAGAATACGCTTTCATCTCCAAAATAGCAAATTACATTGGTTGGCCTAATTGGGCTCCAGATTTGGGAAAGTAACATAAAACTCATGGGGTAGTCAAGTGCCACTTCAGGGCTGAGACCACTGTTCAGACCCTTGAGACAGACAAGCTCATGTGAAAAGGGAAGGAATAGAGTTTTATGACTTTGGGGGAATGATTATCATAGGTATGTTTGTTCTGGGAGAGCCTGTGAGCACTCCTGTACATTGGAGCCTGGGAACAGGAGCCTTTTCTGTGCTCAGCATGCACCCACAACACTGGAGAGGAGACAGCTGAGTGAGGAGTGCCTGCTGCTCACTGCTGCACTGCTGCTAGGGAGCTTTTGTCAATTTTTCTATAACATGATGCCTCAAGGTGTTTTCCAATACCTCCCAGTGTAATTTTCTCCATGACCTTACCAGGTGCTGAAGTGAGACTGATGGGCCTGTAATTTACAGGGTCACCCTTCCTGTGCTTTTTGAAAACTGGGACAATGTTAACCAGCATCTACTCAACTGGGACCTCTCCAGATTTCCAAGATGTTCACATATCAAGAGAAACCTCACAATGACATCAGCCAGCTCTTTGAGTAGTCTCAGATGAATCCCATCAGGCTCCATAGATTTACAGGGATGCAGCTGGTGCAGCAGATCCCTACAACTTCAGGATCAACTGTGAGTTTGTCATTCTCAAGCCATGGTCATTCAGCTCAGGGCACTGGAACTCCCTTAGCCCATGCTGCAGAGAGGTGAGGAAAACAATACATCTCCCTGCCTTGTTAAATTCTCTGTTTATGAGGTGACCACCCTCATTCTGGAATAGGCCAATGCAATTCCTCCACTGTTTTTTGCCAATGTATTTTAAAACCCTCTTTTTATTGTCCCCCACAGTTCTGTCAAGTTTCAAGTCCAGTTACACTTTGGCTGCAAAAATTGTCTTCCTGCAGAGCACCATCTCTGTGGTCCTGCCATGCCACCCAACCTTCTCCTGCTGGGCATACCCGTTTCTTTCCTGCTTCACTTCCAAAAGAAGATCCCTGTTCAGCCAAACCAGCCTTGCGTCTCATCTGTTTGACTTTCTATATTTTGGAATTGCTGTTTCCTGTGCCCATAAGAGGTGATACCTAAAAAGTGACCCACAGTAATGGACCCCAGCACCTTCAGAAGAATTTTCCCATGGATCTTCATCACTATTTCCCTGAGCAGCCAAAAGTCTGCTTTACTCATGTCCAAGGGTGAAAATTTCCTGACACTTTTCCTCCTAGCAACAGAGATTTTAAACTAAATCACTTTGTGGCTGCTGGAGCAAGATAGCCACCAATAATGTCATTCATGCAATCCTCTCTGTTAACAAGCAATAAATCAAGGAGGACATCTTTCCTAGTCAGCTCCCCTAGCACTTGTATGTGAAGTTGTCATCCAGGTGTTTTAGTAATCTTAGAGTTTTATTAATATTAGTAATCCCCCTCTACAGAAGGCACTTAACCTGGGAGATAATTACATCACGATTTGTCCTCCTAACTGGTGCTTTTTATCAATTATACAAATTTCCTAACACCTATAAAAGGTACTCACCCCTGTGGGGGTGGGTTTGTGTGGACATCTTTCCATAACTGCCTCTGAAGGCCTTCAAATAAAGATCCACTTTCATTTACCTTCTTTCTAGAATTATTTTGGAGTTTCATTTCCAGGTTGGGAAAAAGGCAACAGTCCAGGCTGGGAGATCTAAACTCTCACAGAGACATCTGCATCCTTTCAGTGCCCCTTGATTCCTTCCCAGAGGCCCTTAACTGTGACCTCCCTGCATTCTAACCCTTCTGTTACATACAATGCCTTCCTCTTCCTCATCTGCCCTGCCTATTCTTCCTAAAGAGGCTGTAACTGTTCAATAGGGCACATCAATCATAGGACACATCCAGGTAAGGTTTCACTTATGCTAGTGATGTCAAATCACTGGGACTGGGCTAAGGATCCATGCTCTTCTTCTTTGTTCTTCATGCTGTATATACTGGAACAGAAACACTTCAGCTCTGGTCTGTTGTAGCCAACATCTCCCACCAGCACTCAATTCCTCAAGTTTTGGTGCATCATCCCACTGCCTCTCACTACCTGGATTTGTCCCTTCCCCCTTCCAAACTAGTTTAAAGCTTTATCGAATAATCTTCCTAGTTCCTATGCAAGAAACCTTTTTCCCCTCTGAGAGGTGCATCCCCTCAAGTGTCAACTGATCAGGTGTTGTATAGACCATCCCATGGCCAAAAACCCAACATTATTCTGACTACACCAGCCCTGCTCTTGATAGGAATGCTACTGTGGATAACTTCCCTGTTAAAATGGGATTTTTTTGTTAAACAATAGGCAATATTCTGTAGAAACAATTCCCTGGCACAATGAAACATCTCATTTTTTAGCAGGGCACTACTACTTCATCAGTAGGCAGCAGACATACATTTCAATCATATTTGTCTTCCTTTGTATTTGGTAATCCTTTTCTTCTTTCCTCTCTTTAATTTTTTGCTATTATAGTACTACCAACTAAAATTCAGCTACATTTTGCTCAGATTTACACATAAATTCATCAGACTGTAAGCCAGGCCATGTACAACCATTTTAAACTTTATTCTGACGACACCAGCCCCTGCTCTTGATAGGAATGCTACTGTGGATAACTTCCCTGTTAAAATGGGATTTTTTTGTTAAACAATAGGCAATATTCTGTAGAAACAATTCCCTGGCACAATGAAACATCTCATTTTTTAGCAGGGCACTACTACTTCATCAGTAGGCAGCAGACATACATTTCAATCATATTTGTCTTCCTTTGTATTTGGTAATCCTTTTCTTCTTTCCTCTCTTTAATTTTTTGCTATTATAGTACTACCAACTAAAATTCAGCTACATTTTGCTCAGATTTACACATAAATTCATCAGACTGTAAGCCAGGCCATGTACAACCATTTTAAAATATTAATTTTAGGAATAGAAAAAGCATTTTTAAATTGTATCATTTTCTGTTAAGTGTAACAAAAATAAAAAAAAGACTACTGCAAACTTCTATTCCAATTAAGAAGATCATTCCTCTGTCCCCAAAGGAGAAATAATGTCCATATCTGTTTCCTGTGAGACTGGAGCTACTTCCTTGCTTTTCCATCTATATAACTGCAATGCTCCCAACCCTAGAGGCCCACACTGAGGCTTTTATCAACCAGCTTCAGCCCTCTGGAAGTAAAACCTATTCCAAGGTGCCTTACAGAATCCCTAGAGGAAACAGACATTTGCTCAGGAGCAATTAATCTATTCCAGACTTGTAACTTCTGGAGGGATAACCAGGTGACATTCACACCACCTGGTACAAATGTCACTGATGTACTCAGCACACCGCAGGCATTATTTATTTGGATTAGTGATGGAATCTCCCTGGAAAAGCAGCCCTCTCTGCAAACATGTTAAAGCTGTTAGGTCTTTCTTTTTAACTTAATATTTCATTTCCTGCAGTACACAGTACAACTCAAAAATCTCTCACCTCAGCAAACACAACTGGCATCAAATATTCTCTTCTGCCTTTCTCCTTACACTGCACTGAAGTGAAAACAGATGAGGTGCTGTGGGTTGGAACGAGATGAGCTTTAAGGTCCCTTCCCACCCAGGGCATTCTGTGATCCTATAGCTTCACCATGCTGCTGCTCCTGGGAAGGAGCAGCAAAGGGCTGGGAACAGAGAGCAGAGCAGAACCTCACCCAGAGGAGCAGCAGTGTGCCAGGACTGTCCTCCCCTCTCTACCACAGACAGTGGGTGCAGATGTGAGGAGATAACCCAGGCTGAAAGGCCCAAAGGGATCATCTCCAGCACCAGAAGGGCTCAGGCCCCAGCTAAGAACCAACATCTCAGCCTGGACAGCACATGTGGGAAGAGATAAAAGAAATATTCCTGACTGTTTCACAAACTGTAAAACACACTCGAGTTACCACAGAGGCAGAAGCCTCCTACACCCTGAAAGTGCTGGAGACTTTTCCCTGCAGTTTGGACACAGATACCATGGATGCTTCCCTGGGGACTGAGGGGAAGGATCTCAGTGTGTGCCCCACCAAGCACTGGATGGTGAGAGCCATTGAATCCTAAGCTGTATTATTTCTTCACTAGCTGTGACATTAATGGGTACCTTTAACCTCATGCTTTATGTATCTATTAGTAGGGTTTTTTAATCCCTATTCCTGTGTAATTTTTGTTTGTTTTAAGTCTTTCATCTGTTAGTTTTCTGTCTATTAAATAAATAATTAATTCTCTTATAGACCAAATCAGCCATTTTTAAAGAACTTGTGATCAAGAATGGCTTTTGGGGTGCTGGCCACCTCAATACAGCCGCTGCCTGCTGCCAGAAGCCTGGGCAAAGGGCAGGGACTTATCCAACCCCCCAAACATCCATTAACAAGCAGCGAGCAGCACACTGGGTATGGCATACCTCTGCGGATGCTCCTCCTCAGCTTGTTGCAGAGGTCCAGGCGTGGGTTCTCCAGGCTGTCCTCGGCCGAGCCCGGGCTCTGCTCGGGGGACGACAGCCCCCGGCTCAGGTCCAGCGGCGCCTTGCTGCCCGTGGGCGGCGGCGACGTGGCCGGGCTGTAGTTTGAGGTAGGACTGCTGGCCACGGACGAGGCTGAGAGGTCGAGGGCACCGATCCTGGAGTTCAGCGAGGAGGTTAGGGACAGCTTGCGGGTCCTGGCGGGGGAGGAGGTCCTGGAGAGGGACAGGGGAGGAGGAGAGGAGAACTTGCGGCAGAGGTGCGGCGACTTGCCGTCAGTCAGGTACTCCCCTCTGTTGTTCTGACTGGTGGCAAAGAACAGCTCCAAAGACCTGAGAGGCAGAAACACAGAAAGAGCAACACGGTAGCAAACACTGACCAAATTTAAGTGAAAACGCCTCAATTCTGAGCAAACCTGCATAGCACTGCAAAATTTGTATGACACTTTGTCCTCAAAGCTTGGGCATATAGCTGAGACAGACCTGCCATAAAACTGGCGTCCTGTTTACACCTTTCTCTTAGATTATTTACATGCAGAAGATGTATCTATTATTAAGAACCACTCTCTTAGATTATTTACAAGCAGGAAACGATGAGAAGAACGCCCACAGAACCAGCAGTGACCGAGGCTGTGCTATCTCCCCCAGCAATCTGTGACAAAGAGATCCCAGGAAGGTGCAAACCCCGGGCTCACCTGACAGGAATGGAGGTGAAGGGCCGCCTGTAGATGTCAGAGAGCTTCTCCAGGACCACGGCGGCGGTGGTGAAGATGCGGTAGGTGTGCAGGAAGGTGTTGAGGAAGTCGATGCTCAGGAACCGCAGGTCCGTCAGCCGCTCCAAGAGGCGCTCCACGCTGGCATAGCGGATTTGGGGGACTTTGCAGGAATTCAGCGTTTTGCTGAAGCAAATATCGATGTCATCTCTGTGAAGACGGGCGTCAGATCTACACAAAAGTCAAATTTAAAACACTTTACCAACAAGTGATCATGGCTAGAGTGATGCCTTAAGTTTGAGCTTTCATATTTTCCACATTTTGTGCTGCATTAGTATATTATTACATTAGTATAGAACTGTGATTAACACAACTACTGTAACTTAATATTATATTAGTACATAACTGTGAACTTCATATAAAGTGTTAGCAAGTTCTCCTCACAGTTCAGTCACACAGCCTTTTCCAGTCCCACAACCAAGGACATTGCTGCAGCTTCAGCCCCCAAAAGTGCCAACAACAGGAATGGAGGAGAGCAACCTGGGAGGGTGGGACTGCACAGCCTGGAGCTGGAACTGGACAATGAACCCAAGGTGGAAATGGACCAAAACTCACAAAAGTGTGAGAACTTGTGACTCAGAGTCCATCTTGGGTCTATCTGGGGTCCATCTTGGATTCATCTTGGGTGGAGCCACAGCCAGGCTCTTGTATTGCCCACTGCGTAGCCTTTGAGGGATTTTCAATAAATTCCCACTTTATTCCTTTAACTCTGTCTAGCCTCTGCTCTAGGCAGCCTCTGAAGGCATTAAAGGAGTGATACCCCCTTAGCTGTTCCTGTCAACACAAAAGCAGCAAACATTTACGCACTATTGTGTTTCATCAATGCAGGAAAACTTTTAATTTGTCATGAAAACTGCTTCCATACCTAAGGGAACTTAAATTTTATTTCTGGAAAATGCTTTACACTTCAAAGCCTAAGAAACTGTTAATCATGCTTACATTTCTGAAATGGAACAGGTGGCAGAATTGTGCCCTCTTGTCTCTTTCAGGCTATTGTGGCCCATAGGTCAATATTACTAAAATCTCAGTATGGGATAATTCATTGCAATGTTTTCTGCTGGGATCAACCTTTATCTACAATAAAGTGATGGATCCTAAAAATTAACCCCTTAGCTAGGTTTAAGGCTTACCTGCAAATTAACACCTGCCTTCAGCTCCAAGAATTAATTTTTGTTTTAAGAGAGGAAATAGGAAACAGCACAAAACATCTCAAATTTCAAAGCAGAAACCAAGAAAAACCTTTATTTTAGTGAAAAAAACCAAAACCAAAACCCAATAAATTTTTGCTTGAAAATAAAAAAAAATAATCATTTACATAACCCTATCCATAAGGGTGGGGGGGTTCCCCTCAAATTCTGTTTTGCTAAGTTTGTAAATAAACAGGAAGAATACTAAGTAAAGCATCTTTCAATACACCCCATATTTTTGTTAAACATTATTGGATTTGCTGAGAAGAAAGATAAGGATATTCCACACAATTCTACACTGTATTACATAAAAGAAACAACAACAAAAAATATCTTATTTCTTCCTACAGACCCTCCAAAAAGCAGCAATTTTTTGTTTATATCATCCAATGACATCTGACTCTGAAAGTCAAACTGTGCTGCAGATCAGGCAAGCTTCAAGCTTCCTTCAAATTTAAGAAGGAGAACACCAAATCCGTGTCGGTTATGAAGGTCCTGTATGTTCTTCAGAATTAATATTCCTTCTGTTGGCATAGGGACTGAGGTCCTGCTGTACTTTGAAAGGGGACAAATGTACTTTTAAAACTCAGCAGGTGACAGAAGTTTTTATGCACTGGAGAGTTCCTGGAATAAAGCTGCAGACAATAAAATGCCTTATTTCCAGGGATCAAAGGTGTGTGCCCTAACAGTACATTCCCAAATGCTTTCTCTCTCCCATTTCTAAGCACATAGAGAGGAGAGGAAACAACTACAGAAGAGGCATTGGAGAAACCAAGAGATGTGACAGATAATAGTGAGACAGGAAATAGTTTTATATCTATCCTTATGCTTCATTTACTTATATATTCATTGGATTCTAATAAGTACAACTCATGTAAACTGAGGTATGTAGAAGATCCAAGCTGTGTTAAAAATCTGGAATCATGTAGTGAAAATATGTCACTAGAAACAAAAACCACTTATTACAGTAAACAACTGAAAGAATCCAATGGCAAGGGAAACAACCTTATAAACAATGGTGCTACTTTGATGTGATCAGTTAAAATCATGAGAGAAAGTAAACTTTTAACAGAAATAACAGAAATATAGAGAACAAAAACTTTGGCTAATGTAACGAAATACCTTTGAAAATGGTGAAATTGTCTGCAGTCACATAAATTCTGAAGACTTGTACAAAATCTCCAATAAAATTATGAGATGAAAAGGAAAACCTGAGAACAAAATCATTCATCTGAGGCATAATTGAAGCCAACTACTCAAAATCCAGAAAAACCTAAATTGTGATCCAACACTGTGAATTGAGAGTTCACCACTCTGAGAGATCCCTACAACTCCAAGAAAGGGATTTGAAAATATGTTTTGGGATAGAGAATCAGCTCCATTCAACTGAAATGGGAGGAAGAAAAATTAAAGGTTTGCATTTTCTAAGCACATTCTTTGTCTTGATAAAATTTTTATTGAGGAAACACAAGAATCTAGTCTGTTCTCTGCTGCACTTACTTGATCATATGTGGCACTGTGACTTTGGAGTTTTCTTCAAACACTATTGTCATTAATCCATTGCACCTTATATTATCAATGCACTGTGGAAATAAACATTGAGAACTGTTAAATTCAAAACACTTTTCATATCCCTGTAAGCTCGAAGCACAGCTTTTGCAGGGTATGGGCTGATTAAGACAAGGTATTTTCCCAAATGAAAAAATGCTTCTCTGGCCTTTGCCTCTCAGGGTATCCTGTTCAGAAACCTTTTTTTTCCACATGATTAAGTATTTTGACTTGGAAGTGATATTTCCTTTGAAGCTCCTTTGAAAGGGAACAAAACTCATTATTTCTAGTATTTCCTGAAAGAGTGTAAGCTTGAGAAATCAAGACCACAAGAAAGTCAGAATGCTTTATACTCCAAGGGGTACAGTAATACCTTAACCTCTACTCCGTGCAAAAGACCAGAAGGGAATATAAAAAGCTTCCAGAAACACATTTGTAAAAACAAGTTCAAGTGGTGCTCCTTGTGAAACGCAGCCGTGAGGAAGCTGTCCAAGCTGCTCCGTGCAAACTCTCGTATAAATGTTTGAGGCTGGGAATTAGGAGAGACTTTTATGTGCACTTTTATGCAGTTCAGAGGAGCCCAAAGAAGGGAACAGAGCTGGGGAAGGGGTTGGATCTCTATCAAACCCTACAGGGCTCTTGTCTGCTTTACACTTTCTACTTTTATTCATACACATATATACATATATATGTATACATATAAATATATATATATATATATATATATATCTATGTACAATCCCCTTACATCAGTAAAAAGGAGTTTCAGAAATTATCACACACATTTATCCTGACTTCAAGAATACATGCAGCCTTCAGGCTCTGGAACATTTAATTTCAAACCAATGACTGATACTGGATTGCTCAAACCTGATAATGACAGGCCTCTTCAGGTTTAGATTACATCTACAGTTACAAATTTAAAGTATCATCTATGCAGTTTTATGTGGGTTTCAATTCAGGATTTTAAGATTATTTGGAAAGTGCAGTAATTCACAGTATGATTTTCTCAAATCATTACCTAAAAGCAGTGAGAAACACATTTAATAGAAGTACTTATATTTCCCCTATTTGACCTTGAAATATTTCAAAGAAGCCCTTATCACCAACCATGGTATCAGATGATTTTTACAATTATTATAATTTAGGCTAGGAATGGACTTAGTAGCATTCTTAAATGGTCATTCCATGCCAGCAAATAACTCCTGTAATTTTACATGTCAATGGAACAACAATAATTACCTGAAAATCTGTTTTGTAAAAAATTCTCCAACCAGGTCTGTCTGTAAGACAGCAAGCTGTAGCTCATACTATATTTTGAAATTTTTATTTGCCTATTTTTGTTGTTTCAAAAATGTTAATCCAGCACAAAATAAGTCAGAATTCTTATTTTTTAAGCAATTTCTCCTCATTATGATGATGATTCATCTGGAGATGTTGCCAGCAATGATACCAACTTTGAAAATGCATGACATTCCATGCTGATATTCCTCTAATCAGCTATTTCTCTCTAAATTAATAGAGGATAGGAGCTGAATTCAGAACTATGAGAGATGAATGTTCTTGTTTGTGTGCATAAACAAAACACAAATAGCCTTGACTTAGCTCTGGTTAGCTGGAAGTTTAAGGTTTCTGGGCTTTTTTTTGCATTCGACTGCTTTCCACAAATAGATTATGACAAAGTTTGTCTATTATGTTTAAAGTAAAAGCAATTTTAAAAAATGCCAACAACATATCCCTGACATGTAAAAAATTTTAAACACTCTTTTTGTTCATTCACAACACAGTTCCTGCACGCTGTCAGAATGCTCAGCAATTATTTATAATGGTTTGTTAGTATTCATTTTTGGTGGAAAAAAGAGTTTATCCCATTTTCTTACTTCATTATTCATGTGATACGGTATCATTTTCACACTAGGACTCAGGTGGTTTTGATCTGTACAAAAATCATGAATAAACCAGTACTATCCTTATTAAATCAAAATATGTGTCTAGATGGGCTTTTCTTAAACATAAAAACACTTACCACTATGCTTGTACGTGGACAATTTTGAAATTTATACCCCATCTCTGTTCTTGAGAAACACACTTCCCTGGTGACTCAAATGCAACGGAATTTTGAGGGGAACAGGCAGCACTAAGGGTTTTTCACAGCAAATCAAAGGTCTTCATCACCTCCGTGTCAGGCTGGTTTTCAGAAGCTCAGAGTGAAGGAACACCTCACCAAAACCAGGTGAAAAAATGTCTTTGGCTGGAAATGGGGGTGTGTATTCCATTTCCACCTGTCAGTGGTGGGGCAGTTATCCTCTGATCGTGGGGCAGTTTTCTTTATCTCTCCCACAGCCAATCCTCCCTCCAGGAGATATATGCAGTTCATGGCCAGGGAGTGTCCCTGCAGGGCTGATCAAATTCCATCATCCCATGGGGAGATGCTCTGCCCAGGGCAGGAGCCAAGCATTCCTACCTGGATACAATCTGAGATTTGGGACACTACAGCAGCCTCTGCCCCCTGCATTCCCACAGGAGCACCAGGCCCATCTCCAGCAGCCCTGGAGCTGCAGAGGAAAACTCCCCCCTGGTGCAGGATCCCTGCTCCAGCAGAAGCACAGCTGGCACTGCAGGAGGGCTGAGCCCCCCTGGGATGGGGCTGTGCCACCCCCTGACCCACAGGGGCAGCTCCTGCTCTCACTCTGCCAGTGGGTTGGTTTGGGTTTTTGTACTATTGCATTTCTATTTTTAACTTTCCTAGTAAAGAACTGTCATTCCCATTTCCCTATCTTTGCCCGAGAGCCCCTTAATTTCAAAATTACAATAATTCAGAGGGAGGGGGTTTGCATTTTCCATTTCTGGGGAGGCTCGTGCCTTCCTTAGCAGACATCTGGCTTTTCACACACAGACAGAAAAGCACAAGGTACCTGGCTGATGTCACTTGTCCATGCAGCTTTCTCCTGCCGTGACGGGGCCAAAAGCACAACAGTGAAAGGAGGAGCATCCGCGGGCTCCACTACCAGCTTGAAATCCAGGTGTCCAAACACCTGCCCAGAACCTTTGGCTTTACAGCCAGAGGGGGAGAAAAAAAGTCACAACATGAAATGTCACAGCATGGGAAAAAGAAAACAGTGATTTCATTTATAATGGAAATGCTATAAAACATCTTACTGATAAAGAGCAAATCCAATTAATTATCCAGCAACTAATTTTGTTCTTCATATATGTCAAGCACAAAAATAGTGGGATTTGCTCTTCAAGATAAAGTTTATTATAACACTTGTATGCTAATATATCCTTATCATACTACAAGTATCACTCAAATTAACAAAACTACTGTCATAATTCAAGTGTAAAACTAGACAAACTGCAGGATGGAAGACAAAAGGAGTAACAATAAAATCAGCCTGAGACTGTATTTTGTAATTCCATTTGAATAAGCTTGCAGTCCTGATTTGTGGGGAGCCCAAGACAAAAAACTTCCCATTAATTCTTCCAAATCAGTCAACTCCCAGGTATTCCAGAAAGCAAATTATTACGAAGCTTATTTAAGGCTTTTTATTTTTTCTTTTTAACTCTTTTTATTTTCAAATTTTTTTTTATATTTTATTTCCCAAAATGCTCTGGGTGAACTTGAATACAAAAGCCAGCAAATAATTTGTCACATTTCTCCAGCCAACCCTCTTGAAAACCCAGTAAGGGGTGTTAACAGCAGGAACAAATACAACAAATCAATGCCCCATCCAAGCCAGCATGTCCATTATTGGAACAGCACTTCTAATGTATCAGTTTTACACTGTATTCTACTGGATTCACAACAACATATCTATTTGCTCTTATAAAAAAAAAAAAAAGGTACTAATTTTAGGAAACTAGAAACTGTACTTACTACTGACAGCTGAATTTAACTTACAATCATCATCACTCGCTTCTGTCTCTTCGACCAGTGTGCACTCTATCAGAGACAGAACACCTCCTGTCTGTGGAAACAAAGCACATTTCACACAAATGTTTTTATTCCCATTTGTCACAGGTTTTTTAAAATGTTGACAGGCCTGACTCTAACATTTTACATTACTCAGAGCTCTGAGGAAGACACATCAATTTCATGATGCACATTTTTTCCTTAAAGAACTAAACTTGAACTGATTTAATATAATTTTTTCCTAATCCAGCAGATCAATAGTACAATGCATAAAACTTCTTTGACTTTTACCACACCTTAATTTATGCTGCACACAGACTTGCTCACAAATTCAAAAGCAGTTAACTAGAATTTAATCTTCTGAATTTAAGTGAAATACATACAAGATATTTTTAAAGGTTCCATTACACTCTATTTATTTTGCATAAGTACTTGAACTATATAAGAGGTGCAAAGTGGGAAAGCACATGACCCTTAATAACCTCTTGGTATGCCAAATTAAAATTCCATTCAACATAACCCACTCCATGAACTACCAACATCTCTTACCCACAAGCCAGCACTATGAAAGACTGATTCTCAACTAGAATAGAAATATAACTAGATTGTTCTTAGATGACATTTTATTTTAAGAGAACATACTGTTCAGGAAAACTGAATTGACTTTGAAAATTAATTTTATTAGAGCTCTGGAAAATGTTCTTTGGCAATTCTGCAGGGTTGTACTGACTGATTTATGCACTGAAAACTGACTTAAATTCAGTGCTAGATACACTGAATTTATTCACTACTTCAAACAAATAAAATACATCGATGCCTTTTTTCTAATCCCCAGTTTACTAGAATTAAGTGGGTCTAATAAAAGAAATTTGACTGAATTCTATACTTGCAATGAAAAGACAAGGCAGTTAAATATTGTGCACCAACCCACTTTTGTTTATAACCACTAATGCAAAGCTCACATGAAACCCATAAAACATCAGAATGTTGACAGTTCACCAAAGATGTGTTTTCATTTTGAAAATTAAATTATAATATGAAGTCCATACCTTAAGAAGATGCAGTTTTCCTCCTGAACTTCTTGTACAAATTAAGAAGTGTTTTGTAAACAAGAAGCATTGCCTTTCTCCTTCTTTCTTCAAAGACAACGAGCCCAGGCGAACTTTACTCAGCTTTCCCCTCTCAACTGAGGGGACCTGGATAAGGGAACCTGGTAATGAAAGTGCAAAATTTACTGCATTACAGTAATATTTAGTGGGCAGTGCTCAAGCTATCACTATCACATTAATTAACACAACTCTTCATTGCAGTATCAATGTGTAACAGCATCTCTTTCAAGCACAAGTCAATCCTTTCTTACTGCACAGGTTCCCTTTGTTTGTTATCATAAATAGACTCAAGTACAGTCTAGACTAACATGGCAGGATTAGATCCAGGGCTGAGTGGGCAATTAAACACACTGAGAGGCCATTAGTCACAAAATGTGGCTGAACAGCAAACACCATTCTGACAGCCACTACATTTGCAAAAGACACTTCCAAACCAAAGAGACAGAGAATGCAAAGAACATGGAAAAGTTCTTTTTGATGGAAGAGAGTTTGTGTGTGTGCCCATGTGCAAGAGAGAGGGATATGAAGCACATTTCTTCTTCTTATCTTGTACTGCATAATTGTCAGTGCTCCACAGCTCATCTGAAATGTGTTACCAGTAAAACACTCGCGAACTAAATTGAACCTGCTTACATAAGCCTGAATTTTGCTTTGCAGAGCTCCAGGCTGGGGACAGCTCTGCTTCTCTTGCTGTTTCACATCCCAGTCTGTGACCAACTTCTCCAGATTGATCCCACCATGTGTATCACCTCCAAATTTGGAGCAGGAGTTAAATTTGGTGGTGAAGTGCAACTCCTCTGTAGATTAAACAGAAATATTTCTACCATACAACTTGCTGTTAGCAGACAGGGCAGCCAAGAGACCTCCAAGTCTCCTTCCCACACATCTCTCCTCACTATTACCTTTACACTGGCTCGTGCCTTCTTCCAGCATCAGGTACTCACACAGCCACACCAGCAGGAAAATAATACTGGGAAGAGGCAGCTGACTTAGCTCCCTGATAGGAGCAAGGTCACAAAAGCACCAAAAAAGTGATGATGCAAAGGGAGCTGCACAGCAGAACAAGCAGCAGGAGAAGGCTTTGACCTGCCCCTTCCAGATATGAAATGGCACAGCTGCATCAAAGCTCAGAGTAGTTGTGGCACCCTGACACAATGCCAGCCTGACAAGAATTACCCATGAAATATTAGATTTGCAACTCTTACTCTGTGTTGTCAAAAGGATTATCCTTCTCAAAGTTCACATATGCAATCTTAAATTAACAAACAGAGAAACCGCAGTAACTGAGAAAGGTGCTATTCATCTACATTTTTTTTTCTACACTTAGCTGTCTCTATATATTTAAGTAGCCTTAAATTATTAACATGTAAACCTCTGCTGACATGGGAAAATACACAGCAGTAAATTTGCCAGAGAATAGTGTTCTCTGACAGACATTTCACATTTGGACTAAACGCGTGTAACACAACTTGTGTCACCAAAACAGAACAGTGAAGTTATGCTCTAGAATTTTGCAGAGGAGTTTGGAACATCTCAGATTCACTTACATTCTGACCCAAACCCCTAAACATTTACTGGCTGTTTGCATTTCCCCTGGACAAGCAGCCAACCTGCCCCAGCTGTAAGAGAGAGGGAGATCATTTCCATGTGTTGGAATCGTGACTTTTCCATGTTACACAGAATGTCCCCCAAGCCACACTGCAAGGCCAGCATGTTCAAAACAACTCCCAGACAAAATCCCCAAGGTACTTTTAGTCCTAAAATTCCATCTACACTTTTAGGGTAGCAATATTCAATCTGTACATTTTGTTTCTGCTTTGCTCAGTAGAGTAATAGTACTTATAAATATGATATGCTTCAGAGGTAAGTTTACTGGTAATTTTGTTTACTTATTTTTATTTTCATTAGAGTGCTTTCAGGACTAACATGCTCTGTTCTGCCATAACGGGCAGAGGTTAAACAATGTTCTTGCACGGAGCTGAAATACTGTTTAATAAGGTAAAACAGAGCAAACCTCTCTCTAAAAGCAGAAAACAAGACTGCATTTTCTCTCTTTCAAATGTGCAGAGAGGAACATATCTACACAAATGCATGGCTGACACCAAGCAAGGACTTTGGGCATTCTCATCAGGCTTTAGTGGTTAACAAAACTGGCCATTGGCTTTACCACAGATTTCCACTTAAGGGAAAAAATGGTCACAATTGGCCAATGTACAGATGCCATGAGCAAGTGAAGCTAATTTTAGAACATTCACTAACAGTATAGTTTGGACAATAGTGTAATCCCATGAATTTTTATCCAGCCTCAGGCCTAAGCACTTTCAGCACTTCAGTGCTTCAGCAGTCACCCTCTCAGCCTTTGCTCAATCCAAGGAATATAATAGGCTGTATTTATAAACAAACACAAGCATTCAGAAGTCTACACTGAACTGTCTGATCGACCAGCTCAATCTGGCTTTCCCCACACTGGAGGTTTTCAGGCTTTTTTACTCTTTTTTGCTGTTTGTTTTTACTGCTCAGAGGGTTAAACATTGTAAGAGGTTGCTCATTCAGGGAGGCTGCGGGGTCTCTGTCCTTGGACACAACAAAATACTGACTGGACATGGCAGAAACCAACCTCCCCCACAGGGTGCTGCTTTGAGACTGGAATGGATAATTTCCAAAGTCCCTTCCAGCTCCAGCTATTGCCTGATGTTGTGGTCATGACATCTTTATCAGCAGAGGTAAATTCACAGCAGCTGATGGCAGAAGCATCAGAGTGTTTGAAGGCACCAGAGGGGTTCAGGGTGTTCAGTTGTTTGGGTATCAACAGATTTGAGACTCCCTGAGTGTCCTTCAGCCTCACAAGGAAGATGTTCCTCACTTGTTTGTGCACCTGACTATAACATCTGTACCTAAGTAAGAGGCAGAGAAAATCAGACCCCAAGAAACTCAAAGGAGAATTCACAATCTGCATTGCAAAACACTGCCAGGGACAGTTCCCGTGGTCTCAACATGCACAACTCAACAGAATCAATCTCTTCTTAAACATGTAAAGTCTGTGACACATGAAAAAGTTGTCATTAACATCCACAAAAAAAGCCTGAACAAAGGTAGTGGCACCTCTCTCCTGTTTTAAGCTGTAAAAGAGGCTCCTGTGCCCCTCTACACTGATCAACACAGCAAAAGGCAGCCTAACTGACACCAGAGGAGAGGGACACCCTGCCAAAGTGACCCCAGTGTCACATGTAAAAGGAAAATGGGCTCCATTACTTCATTTGCTTTATTGAGATTTCTGCCCTTGCACAGAGTCACAGGCAGTGGATGTTCCAGCAGATAAGCTGATACAACCTTCTGTAACACACACTCCTGTCCACTGCCCTCTGACTGTGTGCCTAGAAATAAATCTGAATTTAATTTACTTACAGGGTTTGGCCTGGGCCTGACAAGCCAACAGTAATTTGTTCAGATCGATTTTTTTCTTTGAAAAAAATTCTAAGTTTTACTGATGAAGCCGTGGGTACATGGACAAAACACTGTTAGTCAGTTTTAATGGGAAACCCCAATAAATAAAAATACATATTTGTATTATGTATTGTAATAATCCTGAAAAAAATTCTGAACTGTAATTAGATTTCATAGTACAGGTCAACCTAGGATAATCACAGCATTATAATTATTTGGCTGTGGGTAAAAAACAACTTGTTTTTATGTTTTGTTTTTTTTTTCTGAAAGCCATATTCATAAAACACCACAGAGGTAACAAATGCATAAATTTAATGAAGAATCAAATAATTTAATAGGGTTTGTAAAAACAATATTGTTAGTTTATTGTAAAAATAATATTGGAAGTTATTACAGAAAATTCATAGCTTGGCCACATAACTACAGAAACTGCATAAAATGCATTACAAAATGTACAGAAAGACTATTAATTACCAGGTGCAATATGGTCCCATCGAATACCAGATGTTCTGCCGAGGTTATCTGAAAAAGGTTTCATGAAGAGATGCACCTAAATTATATTCCTAACCTTTCCTGAGTATATTTAAGGCTTTTCAGCACAAAGGAGCAAAACCTGTCAGAATCCTGCACTACAGATCTGTAGTTATTGTGTACAAGCCCAGTAACTGGCTTCAAGAGATTCAAAAGTAAAATATTATATAAATGGGAGAAAAATAAGCAGCTGAAGTAAACACCATCTAGTAAGAATTGCAACCAATTTGCAATTTCTGGCAAAAAAAAAACAAAACAAAACAAAACAAAAAAAAAAAACCTGTCCCTTATTTAAATAATAGGCATTATTCCAGCAGAGTTTTTTGGAACTTCACAACAAATTCCACCTCTGCTGTAACTGATTTTCAACAGAAAGTTTCCATCAATAGACAGAGAGAAGAGTGCTGCTCATCCCCTTGGGACCACAATCCAGGCAGAACGTGAAGCACAGCCCCAGGGGGGCTTTGCTGATTTTCCTGCAGAGCACAGCACAGACCTGAGGTCCAAGCACAGCCCAAAATCACCTGTTTTCAGGGCACTTTGTGACTCACCCTGCAGGGACAGGGGGCAGGCTCAGGATGCTGACAAGTGCCCAGTGCAGTGCCCAGCCTGGCGATGGCAGTGTGAGCCCTGCTGCCTCCAGTGCAGTTTTTTTCATGAATTTTGGGCAGCTTTGCAGAGCAATGTCTTACCTTGGCGGATAAAGGTTTGGCTGGTGTCTAGCAATATGTCACAGCCCTCCACTATGGTCCTCTCTATGGCCAGGTTCTTCCTGATGTTCTCTGTGTCACTCACCTCGTCGTGCATCACTCTGTTGGGGACAAAAAATGCACTTTATCTCCCCAAAATGTGCCTCACACCTGCTGTGTCTGTGAAGACACAGTGCATGCCCTTCACCACCTGCTACAGATCTACCCACCCCGTGCCTCACCACTCCACTCTGCACTCCAGAGCAGGTCTCCTGCCTTTTTATCCTCTCCTTTTCCAGTCATTCTTGTGATCATTTTGATTTTTCAGCAGGGGAGCCTATTTGGCAGACTTGTGACTGTTCCTGAGCACATCTGACAGATGCCACTGAGCTGCAAACACTTCACAGCTGATAGAAGACAACCTGATCCTTAATGCCACAAACAGGGAAGTGTTGCCTAGAATTGTGGAGGGCACATTGTAAATTTCCTCTCCATTTAGGGTCCTACTCTGTCCCTGCTTCATATTTACAATTCAGTCCTTTCCCTTTCCCTTTCCTTTTTTTTTTCTTTTTCCTTTCCTCTTTCCCTTCCTTCAACAAACACAGCTTTGATATTTCAATATTTCTTTTCCTTTACTGCTTTTTTTTTTAATAGGCATTCTCCCCTTACAGAGAAAAATACCGATTTTCTTTTTTTTTATTTTTTTTTTTTTAAGTGCTGAAACCGACCCAGGAGCTTATATGATCTTGCAATGATATTTTCCCGAAGTGGGACTGGACTGCACTTTCTGGAATCTCCTCCCTCCTCAGAACTACCTTAAAGGGATGGAAATGAGTCGGTTTATTTTACATTTAAGGTCTCTACTGACTTTATGAGCAGAGAGGATCAGTCAGTCTCAGACTCCAGCTCTGAGTGTTCAGTGGTGAATCAGCTGGATCAGCAGTGAACTCTGACTTACGTGATGAAGCCAGTCCAAAGCTGGTTTATCTGCTCGTGCAGATCTTTTACAACTAAACATTCTCCAAGCACATCTTTAGTGAATACTCCAGTCACTGAATATTTATATCCTGGAGTTCACTCATGGTCTCTTTGTTCACAGCAGAAAACTGCATTTCCCAGAGAGGAGAAACACATTTCTCACTGGGCTGATGAGAGGAACATCTGAGAAAGGTCTGGGGGTTCAGGGAAGAGCTTCACTGTGCAGGTTTCCACAGGGAGCAAAAGTTCTCAGAATATTATCTTTAGTTCCTGCTTATCTAGCATTATTTGAAGCATATATGAAAGTCAATTTTCACAGAAGCATGCTAAAATTCTGACACAGATACAGAACTAAGTACTTTCCAAGACCATGATTATTTAAAATGCCCTTGTCTCTTTAAATTAAGAAAAATAAAATCTCTTTATGTAAAGAAAAATGCTCTGTTCGGAACCCAGGAGTAGGTGGTTTCTATAGTGATTTCAATTCTCCCTATCCAAAATACAAGGAGACACTTGGAGATTTAAAATTGACCAAAAAATAAAAAAAATAGAACAGACAAAATATTATACTGACATATTTTTGGTTTTTTCTTTATCTTCTGTTTTGGGTTTGATCCCTTTCTCTAAAATGCATATATTTTTAAAAGAGCAAAAACAAAAATAAAGAAAAACTAATTTTTCTTTTCAAAACCTTTAATTCAAAATTACCAGATAGAAGGTAGAAAAATCTTACCTTGAAAGTTCTTCTAGTTTAGATTTAGCAAATTCAAGGCTTTTTCTCTCAACGTGTTCGTGTGGTGTGTGAGCCAAAAGTTCATGAAGTGTTATAATGTATCTGGGAATCTTGAAACCAATAAGATATAATATCAGTAAATCCATATATACCTTCCCTCAATTTTAATAGATTATGAGCATGTAAATTTCTTTTGACATTGAAAATACCAGGTGACCTGTCTGCATTCAGAAAACATTCACATTGCACAAAAGGAGATGGAAGAATGTCCAGCATTTGACTATTAAAGGCTGCAGGGTAACAAGGACCCTTCAGAGCTTTTAACCACAGAAAGAAGGACCCTTCAGAGCTTTTAACCAAGTGATGGTGCAGCATAACTGGTCTGACACAACAAGATTTATGTAGGAGGAGAGGCAACATTATGCTCATGTGGAAAGTCACCAGCAATGACATAATAACATTCCTCATCATGCAGGAACAGGACCATCTCCTTCCCTCCCTTGACCTGGCTTCAACTCAACCCAAGGAAACCCCATACCCACAAAAACTTTGCAAAGTACCGCTTCAAAAATTAAAAAAGTATTGTCACAGGTGCTGATGGCTCCTTAGGCTAATATGAATAATTACCATTTACATAAGTGTCACTGATGCCCCTTTTTAATTTTGTTTTCTCTATCTGGCTTGCCAATGACTGCACAAACGGAGGGGGTTCACTATTCCTCATGAGTAAAATGTCAGGTTAAATGAAAAAGACATAAAATTCTCAGGCCAGTGCTTCACAGACATCGTAAAACAGCAGAAAATGCCTACTCCAGACAGACATCAGGAGGGTAAGCACAGTTTACAAAACTTTTGCAGTTTATTTTTCATTTCCTAGAGACCAAGTCACTCGAGAGCGAGGCAGAGAGAAGGACACAAAAAATTCTCAGTAAGGTGCTAATGGTAGCTCTAAGTTACTGAATAGCATCTTCCTCCAGGCTTTATAACCAGGAGTCCTAAGTCAAGGACCTGTTCCTTGCTAATTTTTTTTTTTTTTTTTTTGGTGTGGGAGGCCAGGTGGGCTCCCCAGGCAGGTGCTGAAGGTATCTCCTCTTTGGGCTACTTTGACAACTCCCCCAGCCCATCAGACACCTGAGCCCAAACGGGGTAGCCACAGCCTCACCAGAGACAGGAGGGCTCTTGGCATGGACGATCCAGTAGGGTTTATTAAGGAAAAATCCAAGGGTGTGGGTGAGGACAGAGACAGGAGCACAATCTCCCCTCAACGGGGCAGGGCCAGGGTATGCAACTGGGGGAGGGAGGCGGGGTCAAGGCCAAATCATCCAATGGGAAAGGGATCAGGGCAGAGCTGAAGCGAGATTGACATGGGCTGCACCAATGGGAAAGCAGAGAGGGCGTGGTTTCTTAGGGGGAACCAATGAGGGGAGCAGGGGGCGCAGAACTTTCTAGAACCAGGGAATGAGCAGAGGTCAATTGGCAGCAGCACATTAACATTAAAAATCAAGGGATGATGTGGAATTGTGCTAGTCTCTTGCCCTGATTTACACGGTGGTGTCTTCCCATGGCATTCCCACCCTTTTTTCCCTCATGGCTGTCCCCCGCTCTTTGGTGCCATCCTCACCCCACACTCCCCCTCAGCATTGCTGAGACTGAGCAGAGCTCTCTACCGATCTCCATCAAAATAAATTACACCAAACTCATTTTCAGGAGAGTGCTTCTCGTTAAGCAAGAAGAGCCCTCCACCGATTGCAATGTCAGTAACATAAAATGAATCTACCAAACAGTAAAACCAAAAATACACAAAAAATACAGATGGAGTACCTGAAACATGGGGTAGGTAAGGAAAGTTTCCAGCATTCTGCCCTCACATGCCGGGTTGGCTTCATATTGCTTCAAGAGTTTGTCAAAATCTCTGTTTTGCTTACAGTTTGCCAGCACTTGTAGGCTATACTGATGATTCCGAACAAATTCTTGATATATGTTCAGCATTGGCAGGAGAATGTCAAATAAGTCAGCTAGAAAAAACAGAAAAATACCTTTTTTTTTTTTTTTCCCCCCAACTACCCATGTATTGGAATACATTTTTAAAGAAAGCAGTGTTTTCTCTGGAAGTGAAATTACTATAATCAGTTCTGTTTCCAATATACTGACAATTTAGCAATATTAAACATAGCTATTTCACCTGCCCAGTGATGGTTGTTCTGATTACCCAATGGTCAGATACCATTACCAAAAATACAAGTCTAATCAAGGCTTAGGGCAGAGCAATTCTCATATACAGACCATTACTGCCCACATGGGATTCCCACTACACCTGATCTTGTGGTTTTATGCATATACATTCCCTTCAAAAGGGACTTTAGAAAAAAAAATCCCCACTGAATTTTCAAAAGTAAATATGAAAGTTCTACCCCTCCAGAAAATAAAGTAACTTACCTAGAATTAAGGTAGGCCAGTTGGCTATTCTTGCTTTTAAGCCCTGGTGAAATATCTCATGAAGAAACATGATTGTTTCACTGAAAAACAAGTATTTAAACAAACAAAAAGACAATTCTGGTTTTATTTTCTGATTAATAATTCACAGAGAAACATCTCTTCCTCTTTTGCACTTTGCTAGGAAAAAAACAAAAGACAATTATTGTTATGGAAATAAGTGCTTCCTTTTATTTCATTGTTTAAAAATACTAGCTCAGTGCTCCTAAAAAACTTGTAGTGTTCAAGATAATATTCTAACATTGAATTCATATTCCAGCAAGGGAAAGGAAACCTGCCTTATGACTAAAGGAACATATTCTATTTCTCAGAAGTTTGGGGCAGGCTTGGATGCAATCCCAGCCCTGCATCTAATGTTAGATGCCTCCTGGGCTACTTGAACATGCTCATTACAGCAGTACTTGGATGCCTAATGAAACAACAATTCTTTTTTTGCAGGATATGAAAAGACAAGTGAGAGGGAAGGAGATTCCTTAGGCAGGACAACAGAAAATAGAAGCTTTGACGTTCTCATCCTCGGGGTCTTATGGGGATCATATGAGGCCACTAAGTCCAGTTTTGCTCTCTTAAGAGAAAAAAAGAAACAGGAAAGGTGACAGGAAATTATGGGAACTGTCCTAAGAGGCACCATCTGTCCTTTTTTGCCTTTAGCAGAGGCAGACACAGAATGTAGGGAGGTAAAGAGGTCATGCTGGTTTCCAACAGCATCACCTGCAGCACCTTTGCCTTTCAGCCCTGGAAAAGTGTCTGGCTCAGTGACACCACCTGCACTAGAGTGAAACCAGGGGCCAGGACTCTTCCTTCAGCTGAACCAGAATGGGAACAAGCACTCAGGGAAACCCACCAAAAAAAAAAACCCAAATAAAAAGCCCAAACCTGTAGCCATGATATTTTATGAAAAATCCTTTGCTAGAATTTTTCTCTTATCCTAGCTAGAAGCCTCAGAAAGGAAATGTAAATAATTAAGTATCTGATGGCTGTGGAATGTGCTCTGGACATTGTTTACCAGCAGGTGCACCTGGGATTGGTGCATGTTGGTTGTTTCTAATTGATGGCCAGTCACAGTCAGCTGTCTTGGACTCTCAGAGTTAGGGGCTTTTGTTACCATTCCTCTCCTGTCCTTCCTAGCCTTCTGATGGATCCTTTCTCTCTATTCTTTTAGTACAGTCTTAATATAGCATTTAATATAATATATATCATAATATAATAACCAGCCCTCTGAAACACGGAGTCAGGATTCTCCTCTCCTCACTCAAGCACTCAGGGAAACCCACCAAAAAAAAAAACCCAAATAAAAAGCCCAAACCTGTAGCCATGATATTTTATGAAAAATCCTTTGCTAGAATTTTTCTCTTATCCTAGCTAGAAGCCTCAGAAAAGAAATGTAAACAATTAACAATCTGATGGCTGTGGAATGTGGTCTGGACATTGTTTACCAGCAGGTGCACCTGGGATTAGTGCATGTTGGTTGTTTCTAATTGATGGCCAGTCACAGTCAGCTGGCTCAGACTCTCAGAGTCAGGGGCTTTTGTTACCATTCCTCTCCTGTCCTTCCTAGCCTTCTGATGGATCCTTTCTCTCTATTCTTTTAGTACAGTCTTAATATAGCATTTAATATAATATATATCATAATATAATAACCAGCCCTCTGAAACACGGAGTCAGGATTCTCCTCTCCTCACTTGTCCCGGGAGCCCCCGTCGGCTCAACCATACCAAAATATCCAAAAGATATCCCAAATAAATCCCCCATACCTGTTGAGGAAAATGCTGCTGACATCATCGTGGCTGATGGGTGGCTTCTTGGAGCTCGCTGCCATCCTCAGGGGCCGCAGGAAGCAGTTCACCAGCACATAAAGCTGGTGCACGTACTCAGACTCAGCCTCCACCATGTTGAAAACTATCTGGTTCCTCTTCCTCATGCTCTCTGCATGAGGAGAACAAATATAGTCTTGGACAATGGTTTTCCATTTTCTTCTGCACAGCCAGCCCCGCATAAAGCTCTGAACCTAAAAAGGGGATCACGCAGGAAAAGAAAGTTAAAAAAACATATTACATGGCTTATCATAAGCTCTTCGCTGTAGAAATAGCTCTCAAAATTAAAAGCCTTTGCTCAAAAGTAAAAATGTTCCCTTATTGATATATAATTGTTCTGTAATTACATATATTGTACATTTCTGTTTGTTAAGGGTCATAATTGTTGCCAGGAAACAGACTGTAAAACATGGTATACATAGAAGGGAATCTTTCACTGCAAAATGGAGTGTTGTCCCCTTCCCATCAGCATGAGTGCAGTTCCTTCTTCCTCCTCCTAGACCATTTCTCTTATACCCCAAAGGTATCCTGCAATACCTCCAGGTAAAACATCCCAGCACAGAGTCAATGTCACTACTGGCAGAATTCTTAAATGATTTTTTAAACTCAGTTTGCTTTCCATTTTGAACAGATAATATTTGGCACGGGTATTTAAAGCTAGGTATCAATACATTGCTTGGTATCAGACATCAAGGTAACAAACACAGTATTCAAAAAGACAGATTATTGGCATTCTTAAAAAGCACCTCTGTGTCATGGAAAAATCTAACTAAGCACAATATTTATTAAAGTTGCAAGTGCATTAAAGATTACAGAGGAGGTCTACATCTGGCCACAGGAAATTTCATTATGTGTGTGCCCTGATCTTGATGTGGAGATCATTCATCTTGAATGAGAAGTGCAGAATTTCACTGGTATCAGTTTACTCTGAAAAAATAACTTAAATAAAAGGGGCCCAAATGCCAGAATGACCAAGACGCAGAATACAGTGAATTGCATACAGATTCAAAGCTCTCTTGCTACTAAAAGGGGCATTCCCAGCTTCTGCAACAATGGTTAATTTACACAAAAAGCTCACACCAAGTTACCAGCTCAGTGCTGACCCTGGCTCAAACTGCACACCCCAGAAAAAGACAGCAACTAGAAACATTCCATAAAGGATTTCATGCAAATACATCACAAGGTTAAATGTGGCACTAAAATACATGTTACTGAAAAGATTTAAGTAGGGGCAGGGAAAAGAAAAACTTTGCTATTCAACTGTACTTAAAAAAAAAAAAGCTAGGCCAAAAAAAGGAAGCACACCCCTCATCCCACCCTCCTCCCTTTAAACACAAAAGGTCTCATGTTTACCTTCTTAATTTTTTTAATATCTGGATCTTCATCTTCCTGGTTGCCTTGATAAGGTCGCATTTTTTCCTTTGTTTTATTCAGCGCTACAATCTGACAAAACCAAACACTCATTAAATGCTTCCTAAAGTTAAGGAAACCCTTGGTTGGAGAACAACAATTTCCTCTTCCCCCAGCCTGTGGAAGGGGCACAGAATGACCAACAAACATCTGGGGAGAGGGACTGGGGCACTTCAGGCTAGTACAGATTCAGCTGTAAAAGGGACCCAGAACCAGCAGGTTCTGCCCCCAAAACTAACTATGCCTTTTGGGCTTTATCAGCCTGGGACTGCAGCAAGGATTTGAACAACATCCAGGGAATCAGAGCAGTCTGGGACAGTCCTTAACACCATCACAGCCAAACTCAAACCTGAAGGCTGGGAGGAAACAGTGAAATCAGTGGCATCCACTCTGCAAAGCAGTGTGTCATCTTAACAGGATGAAAGGATGACAGGATGCCAGGAAAAGTAACACAAGCAGCCCAACACACCCCAATACTTAAAAAAAAAAATTAAAAAAAATTATTATTCTAAGGAGTCACAGGGGGACTGTAACATGTTAACCTCACTGGGCTCTGCAATTTTCACAGAATACTACAGAAATTCTGAATGCCACTGATGCCTCAAGTTTGAGATTTCATATTTCCCAGACTCTGCGCTGCATTAGTATGTAACTCTGAACTTCATGTACAGTGCCAGCAGCTCTCCTCACAGCTCAGGCACACAGAACAATCCTTTTCCAGCCCCAGAACCAAGGACACCGCTGCAGCTTCAGCCCCAAAAGTGCCAACAACAGGAATGGAGGAGAGCAACCTGGGAGGGTGGGACTGCACAGCCTGGAGCTGGAACTGGACAATGAACCCAAGGTGGGAATGGACCAAAACTGATAAAAGTGTGAGAACTCGTGACTCAGAGTTCATCTTGGGTCTGCCTTGGGTGCAGCTTTGTGGCCACAGCTCTCTTCATAGAGAGCAGGCAGGCACAACTTCCCAAGGATATTTTCTGGGAATCGCAGTGAGGAACCTCAGAGAAAGAGAAAACAATTCTTATCTCTATTCTCTGTTCCTACCATTTTTGCACATGTGGAATGTGTCAGGAAGATTGTTTACCTGAAGGGAGTTCTTAATTGGATTCTGGTGATGATTGTTTATATTAATTGGCCTATTGGGTCAAAGCTGTGTCCTGACTGTCTCAGACAGTCATGGGTTTTTCTGTAGTATTTTTTTAGTATTCTTTAGAGTGGTATGTCTTCAATATAGTATAGTATAATATAATACTGTTATAATAAAGCAATTGTTCAGCACTCTGAACAAATGGAGTGAGATGCCAATCACTCCCTGCATCAGGGGCTCCTGATTCTGCTGTACACCTCGGGAGGAGCCACAGCTGGGCTCTTGTCCTGCCCAAGGCCTTTTAATAAATTGTACTTTATTCCTTTAACTGTGTCTAGCCCTGCTGTAGGAGCCTGCCAAGGCATCCCCACAGCCATGCACCCAGCAGAAGGCTCCAGTCAGGGGCTGCCTGGTGGCCCTCACCTCTGACTTGAGCCGCTCGATCTCCGTGTCCTGGTCCTCCAGCTGGTGCCGGAGCTGGTTGGCCGCCACCTTCTCGGTCTCCACGATCTGCACCAGGTGGATGTACTTCTGCATCAGCACCTCCCGCTCAATCAGGATGTCCGAGTAGCTGCCAGAGAAAGATCAGGTCACTAAAAACAGCCAGATGCTGGTTTTCGTGGTTTTAGTTTAAGAAGGCTTCTGCTCCTGAAGGAATTGTAAAAACAGAGACTGGTTCAGGTGAAAAGATGTTTCAAATGATTCCTCTTCTGTGCCTAAAGAACTGTTCATAATAATCATTATTGTTCCTGGCATGATAGCCAACTGTGCAAAACGTTATTACTGTTAGACATTTATTATTGTTATATATTTCCTGTTGTTAGATATTTACTACCGTTAGACATCTAACTATTGTTAGACATTTACTATTGTTAGATATTTACTGTTGTTAGATATGTATCTATTATTAAATACCTATTATTAGTAGATATTTAGACTAGAGACTTGACAAGCTAGAGGCTTTGTCAAGCCTCTAAAGGGGGGGAATAATGCCTTAAGATTTAGCTTTCATATTTTCCAGATTCTGTACTGCATCAGTATATAACTCTGAACTTCACATAGTGTTATATGTCCTCACAGTTTACCTAGACAAAACAATCCTTTTCTAGGCTAATATATTTTTAATAAACTCCTACTTTATGTCTTTATTCTGCCTAGCCTCTGTTCTAGGTGTCCTCTCAAGGCATCAAAACCCCCTCATGGGACTTGGACAGATAACATGGCCCCAGTGGCAATAAACTTACAAAGACATGCTTGTTTGGCTTAAGTTATAATGTGCAGCTTGATCATAAACCACCCAAATCATAACCACCAAATCATCCAAATTGAAACAGTTTAATATCCTTTTTTAGACACGGGTGTAACAGTACCCAGTTTCACAGTATTCAGCTTCTGAGAGCAAGATAACTGCACTTTTTATGAGCTTCTAAATCTCATGCTAAGCCCAAGAACTCAGTAAACTCAGTTTGTTTTATGTATTTTGAGGTCTTGATTTTTTTCCATCTTTTGGGAAGACTTGGGGGAGCATGTAGCACTTCATCAAAACTATTTCTCTTCATCTGCCAGATCAATTTATGGAAGAATTCCCATCAAAACTGTCACTTTAGTGTGCTAACACATGTTTTATTTTTTAGGCCTTTTTAAGATTACTGAAATAAATGCCTGTAATCCAATCAGTATCAGGAACCAGTGTTTCCTTTAGCTCTTGGGCAGCTTTTCTCTGCAAAGGGACAATATCCCTAGTGTAATCAGATGCCAAAATCTGAGCATCACGTCAGAAATGCTTCCCAGCTTCAGGGAGAGGAGAAATCAGTTTCTCCCTGTGCAGCACCTTCATCAGACTGACACCGAAGCAGCAAAATCCAGACACTTTGCTGCCTCTTACCCCGGGTTTTAGGAAGGTTCTTCCTCTGAGAATTACGTAAATATACAAGACAAAGAGCCAACAAAACACAGCAGAATGGAGGCCCTAAATCATTGACAAGTGATCCATCACTGTTTGATATCACATCATTTTCCATTGCTGAGTTTGAGCACAGCATTTAACAGAGGGAACTTTGGGATAGCAAATCTTTTCCTTTTAAAATTCCTCCTGCTTGTTATAGCACTCTTAAAAAAATGAATACTCACTATTAAATACTGTGAGGTTCCTAAAATTGCAGTAATGTGCATCCTCTACAATGTGGTTTTTTTCTGTAAATATTTACTTGTATTTCAGTCAGTGTTAGTGAACTTCCACACTGGAGGGGGCCAATATTAACCACAGCTGTTAAATTCAACACCTAATCTGGAAAACAAGCTTGGATTTAAAATAATTAGTATAAATTCCCACAGCTATCATAAAGTAAAAAATTTTCCTCCTTGTACAGATTATAAAAAGAACAAGAAGTGAATGTAATTCTATTACATTTGCTGTTATAGTTTGATTACTGCAGAAGTAAACAATACACTGGAAAAAGGAAGGTCAGGGCACTTCTTCCAAGAAGTGAAAAATATGCATAAATAAATCTGCCATGAAGCAATCCACTTATCACTCAGCTGTGCAAGAAAAAGCAGTGAAGTATGAGATTAGTTCCTTAAATTTTTTCAAATTTTTTTTTTTTTTTCTTTCCAAGAATTCTGGGTTTTTTTTTTTTTTTCTTTCCAAGAATTCTGGGTTTGTTTTTTTTCAGAAATCAGAGTACTTCACCTCTTTGCACCCTAAAAAGTCATTTGCACATCATAAAAGTCGTCTGAATCAAAAGCACTAATCATGTCTGAGGTAGCATAAATTGTTTTACAATGTTCTCAAGATAAAAATATATGTAACATATGCAATGAAATGCTTTTATTTAAATTTAACTGAAATAGTCTTTCCTACCTAAAACCAAATCCAGACAGGTGAAACACTCTCTTTTTCTATCCATCCTTTTCAAAATGTTTTAGAAGTTTTGCTACCAATTGTTTTCAACACAGATTTTGAGGGGTTTCACTTCAATTTCATTCAAACTGAGAAAAATAGAAGGAAAATAGTAGGATACAGACTCAGAAAGGATGAACTGCTGATGTAGGACCCAAGACATTGCTACATACAGTACTTCTCTTTCACTTTTTTGTTGCTTCTTTTAGGGGAAGAAATTTGTGTGTATTTCTTGGGTTCTTTAAATGCATTAAGCTGGACAGATTCGCCTTACTGGGGAACAAGAAACTTTGCTCTGGAAGACGGAAGTTTTTGCTCTTTTGAGATGCTCTTAGAGCAATTCAGTGGGGGGCTTTGGCTGTCTAAAATGTGAGACTCAGCCTGGAAACCAAACAACATCTCCTTCACTCCCATAATTAGCAGTACGAAGAAGAGTTAATTCGAAAAGCCTGTGTACACCTACACTAACTTATAATAGGCTAAATCCATTCTCCTTCTCAAAACTACTGCTGGGAAAGGAAAAATCAGAGGCTTTTGGAATAAACTTCACATTCTTCCAACAGCTCCTTCCATCCATCTCTCTGCACGCCTGAGTAGAGATCACCATGTCCAAATGTATTAATCTGAATATCCATAGTAATCCCAGCAGCCTTACAAGAGGACAGGGTATCAGTACTGACACGAGCACACATGTATAAAACATCCTTGTCAGAGAAAATTGTACCAAAATGTTCAGATGTCAAAGCAACACAGAAAAATATATAAAGCAACTTGTGAGCAGCCAGTCTAGGTCTGTTTTTTTGTCTAGGGTATCGTTTGATAGAAAGAAACAACTGCTGCAAACCACAGCTTATACGAATTTTTATTAATATTTTATTGAGGGAAGCAATTCTGCAGTGTCTAAAACATCCTGAAAGCTGAGGCTGAACCTGTCTGCTACAATCATCTGTAGGAACAGGGCTCAAACCAGGTATTTCAAGAACCTCTGATTGACCCATCACCCACCACATGGAGAGAGGAAGAAATTAATAAAACCCTGATAAAAAGTCCTGTACCATTTAACCTGGCATGCTTAGAAAACCTAGGAAAATGGAGAAAGCTTAACCATAGCCTCTGACAGCAAGCCAGTATACAAGTTCCAGTAGTGTTAAAAGCTTTTGAGTTTTGTCCCAGAATGAGACCAGAGTGATGGTTCATTGCAGCAGCCCATGCTAATTGCACTGAAGTTGCTCAGGCTGCTGGGAGAAGCAGGCATTTGGTCTGGCCACATCAAACCACCCTCCTGAAAAGCCAAATACACAGCCTAACCCACTCCTTATGAAAACCAGGCTCTGGCTCTCTGGAAGGCAGTAGAAATTGCCTGCATCTGTCCCCACACCCACCTTGAGCAGCTGCAGGATTCCTCAACAGAGGAGAAGGAGCCTCCAGACAGATTTTAAAGCCTGATGGCACAGCCACAGCAGGGATGGGAACAGTAAAAGCTGCACTAGGACATAACCAATGTGACTCCAAGCAAGCTGCCTTGGGGTGTGATCCAGGGTTCTGAGGGATCCCTGTGCCAGACACAGCCACAGGGCACCACGAGAACTCCACACTCGGAATGGTTTCTACTACCATTTTAACTGAGAGGGGGAAATATGAGCTGGGAGGCAGAAAAAGGAAGACAGGGAAAGTGGACCCAACAGGTAAAGTACTCAAATCACGTCCATGGGGAATGGCTCACTCAGGAGCAGGGTGTGAGGGGAGGGAAGGCCTGTTGTGTGGGATGGGGACTGTGCTCAAAACACCTCTCACCACCCACTGTGTCACCCACCAGACTCACACCTCACACCAAAACCAGCTGCTCCCATTGTCCTGGCACTCCAGCCAGGAAAATCTGACCATAGGAATTCATCCAAAAGCAAACTGGAGGAGAACGGCACCCCATCCCATTGTGCACAACTGAGACAGACCTCAAAGCATGAGCAGCCATGAATCACAGAATCGTGGCATGAGTTGTGTTGAAGGGACATTGAAGATCAGCCAGTGGCACCCCAGCCATGTCAGGGACACTTTCCCCTGTGCCAGGCTGCTCCAGCCCCAGTGTCCAGCCTGGCCTTGGGCACTGCCAGGGATCCAGGGGCAGCCCCAGCTGCTCTGGGCACCCTGTGCCAGCCCTGCCCGCCCTGCCAGGGAACAATTCCTTCATAATATCAATTTTAACTTGCTCTTTTAGTTTAAAGCCATTCCCCCTCATCCTCTTGCTATCTGGCCATGTAAAACATCATTCTCCCTCTTTTCCAGGAGGCCCTTACAGAGGGAAGCTCATGAAAAGCTGCCATGAGGTGTGCCCAGAGTCCATGGAAAGCCTCTCCATGTCTCCTCTCAGGCTGAGAGCAGCCACCAGCCACATGGGTGTGAAACGTCTTATGGGCTTACGGGGAAGAGCATTTTGGGGCTGTGTAAGGCTTGTTATGGAAGTGTAGGAACAAAAGGCAGGGAAAGGGAGGCATGGAATAGGTTTGAAGAGCAGCAAGCTCTGGAAAACACAGAGATAAGGGGATAAAGGATCACGGGTAACCAGAGTGATCAATACACAGGCCATGTCTTGCACATCACCACCACTACCCACCCTGCCTTCTCACCAAACCCAGCTCTCACTGCTCTCCTTGGTGAGGGATGGCACTGTGCAT